CCATGAGAAACATTTTACAAGACCATTACAACACTTGGAAGAAAGCATAAGTCAATTACAGTTTAAATTCTTCAGAAAAAGCTTTCAGATTTGAAATAGATCTTCACCAGCGATTTGAAGGAAATTGAGCAACTATGCTGGCCGGATTTGTGTCGTCGTCGTCTTTCTCGTTTAGCAATAGTTCATAAACTGCCACCGGATTTATGTCGCCGTCGTCGAACAAATGTAAGGTCAGAGAGAGAGACCGATTTCGTCTTTTGGGGAGAATAATGATTTGAGATATGCTATGTGTACATAGGTGTACACATAGGGGTTGACATAATGTAAGTGGGGTGGGGCTCATGCTACAATAGCGCAGGCCCCATCAACTCACATTATGTCATCCCCTATGGATCAATCTATGTACACAGAGATTAATCCTAATTATTTTTAAAACCAATTCAAATGACATTTTGACCATAAATTTTGAAGTGGCATTTTTTTGAATTCAAATTCAAAAATGACCGCCACGTTACAAGCCCCAGCTGATGTACATATGAATTATCCTTGTTGTATTTGTATTTTTGACTTTTTAAAATCAATCATGCTATAATTATAGAAATTGACAGACATGCGTATTGACCGAATTAAACTAATATTCTTTAAAAAAAATAACTAGAATATCTATAAAATTAAACATGAAAAGTGTATCTTAAAGAAAATATCGTAATCACTATTTAAATAACATGTTTTTGATCGAATTAAACTAATTAATAATTTGAAAATAGAAAAAACTTAATGTTTTTATTTATTCAATTCCTCCGGCAGTCTGCATCACATCTCGTCACTATTCCAATTGATTCGAACTAACCTGTAAAATTTTGGAAGAGTAAGTATTTAAAAATACTCAGTAAGATACGTACAGTTTCTTTACACAATTATATAACAATAAAATAAATATTCCGTACCACTCTTCTCTTATGGAGTATATCGGTGATCAAGCGACACACTCATTTTAGATTATCTTAAATTTTCATAGGATCTCATACCTCTTAATAAAGAACCCAAAATCCACTGTCAATTCATGCATAAAATATTGAGTATAAAAGTATAAAGAAACGATCTACTTGCACAAAAGTATCTTACCTTGATTTTGAAAGGTTGAAAAAAGTAAAATCTTGCACGTAAAAATTTTCCTATTATTTTTCTCTACTTTTTTTCTCTCCTTCTCTCTTTATCGTGGCTCTCTTTATTTTTTATGGTGAAATAATTAGAATTCCTACAGTATTTATAGTTGAAATTCTCAATTGAATTTGAATGCA